GTTAATTTTAGTTAATCTTTTCATTGGTTGTCAAACACTTTACTTTATTTTTTCGCATTTTATACTTTAGTTGTGTCGTTTTACTGTTTACAGGCTCTGATGAAGAAATCAGGAAAAATCATAAAGAATCGGAGAAATTTCCCCAAGTTCTAAGAGGCTGCTATAGTCGCTCTAGCAGGCATGCAATAGACCCCATTTAATCAGCAAAAATATCAAGCTACAGTAGGCCTGCTATGGCCGCCCGTAGCAGCTACTACGACCCGTAGCACGCAGGCCATGTTTGCATAAAGTTTAAAAGTGACCAGGGGACAGCTACAGCCGCCCGTAGCAGCTGCTACGGCCCGTAGTGACTTGTGATGCTGATTTCATTATTTTCTTGTATTTCGCTCAAGTTTTAGGCTGTAAGGGTGTTTTGGATATTTCCAACCGGTTTTAGTGGATCTTTTCTATTTAAGCGATTTTTTGAGAAAAATTAAGAGACTTTTTGGCAAGCAAAGAATTACACGAGAAAAGATTGGAGAAGACAAGGGTTTCAGTGGGAAGGAGATTTCATGAACAGAAGCTATTGAAGATAAAAAATTTCTCCCCAATTCTTGTAATCTCTATAATATATCTTTTGTTTTCCTTGAATATTATGAGTAGCTAAACCCTTTAATGCTAGGGGGTGTTCCTGATTTGATTCTTGTAATAGATTTGAACTTATTGCAATAACAATATTATTTTTCATCATTAATTTAATCTTATAATGTTTCTAGTGCATTCTCTATTAGACAAATATGAATTGATTTATTATTAACAATTAGGCTGGATCGCCATTGTTAATGCTTTTATTATATTATGTTATAGTAGATATCACCTAGAACTAGGAATACCCTATAACAACCAAATATTCTTGATAGCAAAAATGCTTAATTTTATCGGTAAATTTCTTTGGGCTTGGGACTTAGGATGAATGATTGAAGATTTTCTCTCTAAGGATCTGACGCAGTCGGAAGCCCTAGAAAATAGCAAGCGCTAAACCTAGAATAAAGGAATAGGTTTACAAGCGTAAAACCTATAGAAAAACACAAGATTGGAAGCGTAAAACCTGTCAGATAAGTTGGAGTCTACCAGCACAAAGAAAATTTTAGATTCTTTTATAATGAAGGATAACCTTATGGCTATGCCAAATATCTTTAAATACATAAAATAAAGAAACGTTAATGGGCCTTATAGGCCTTTAATCCAAAATATAAGTAAATAAAAGAAATAAAATAGAAATTACTTAAATATTAAAATAATATTGTTTAAATATTAAAATGCTTTCTGACGCGCGATATCTTCTTCGATACGCCAAGGCAGCCCTCATACATTAGACTCCTTCACTTCTGAAGAACTCGACCCCGATTTCTCTTCTTTATAAAGAGCTTCATCTGACTGCAGTTTACTGTAAATATCAACTGAAAATCTCTTTTTATGCAGAAATGTCATCACATCTTCTCCCACATTGAAAAATTTAACTTCCATGTGTTTATCTCGCATAGGAGACAAAGCGTTTGATAGCTCATTTGTGGTCGACTCCTTGAAATTCTTTAGGACCCCAAACAGTCCTATTGGAATTGTTGTTTTCTCCTTTACATCATTCACTACCTCTTTAGTCAATATTGGACATATAAATTTAGTTTCTTTAATAGTCTCATCATTCTCCTATTCACTCTGTGTCATCACCAAGAAACTAGACTTCTTTCCTCCTGAATTCTTGTTAAAGTGCAAAACAAAAGCTATAGCAATTTTATGTCCACCCCGTGTAAACATCATCACGTTAACCCTTCCTCGATAAATGATATCATTATCAAATTATTAAGGCCTGCCAAGTAAAACATGACAAACATCCATATCAAGAACATCACAAAGTACGTTTTCTCTATAATGCTTTCCGATGAAGATATGACCTCTGCATGATGGTGCTACTCAAATTTGGGATCCCTTGCGTACCAAACTAAGGGTGTATGGCTTCTTATGAAGTTTTGTGGACAACTTTAAATAATCTACCAATTTCGCTGAGACTAGATTCTCCATGTTGTCACTATTCACAATTAAATTACACATCTTGTTCTTAATAGAACCATGTGTTTTAAACAAATTCTTGCGCTGCCTTTTGTCTTTGGATACTAGTAGCATTCTCTGCAACACAAAATTTACCCTCTCATCAGATTCTTCCTCTACATGATCTTCTCTTTCCTTATCTTCTTCCCTTTCTTCTGCAACAACAATGACTCTCATTGTCGGACAAATATTTAATTTGTGACCTCTTCCGATACAATCATAACATGTGTCTATAGTGGGTCTAGCATATGGATTATTCTGCCTTTAAATTAGTGCTTTACTCTGTTGCACACCACTAGAGTTGTTAGTTCCCTTATTCTCAAAGTTGAAATCATGGGTTGTTGCACACTTTTTTTTGTCGCCGGCTGATACAAAGTTATTCTGGGACAAATACCTAAAAGATGAGAAATTTCGAGGGGATTTATCTATTAATTATGCCTTCAAAGCTAGACTGGATGCTTCAGCTATGGTCCATACATTATGTACACCCATCTTCTCCTGCAAGGATCCCTTTAGACCACTTATGTATCGAGCCACTTTCTGGCTCTCTGATTCTCCTAATTCATTGCGCTCAGAAACCGTAGAAACTCATTTGTGTATTCAATCACAGTTCTCTTGCCCTAAACACACTCAATATACATCTTATAAAGAATCTGTTCATAATCCTCTGGTGAAAATTGCTCCAACATCAATTGTTTCATTCTTCACCAAGTTCTGATTAGCCCATTCCTTTGCCTCTGTCTGTGGACAACAAATTTATCCCACCAGACAACTGCAGTACTTTTAAGCCCGATTGCATCCATCTTGACTTGCTTGTTCTCAGGGACACCCATAACGTCGAAGAACCTGTCGACGTCAATATGCCAATCCAGAAATTCCCCCGCTCCCATCGTTCCATAGAATAATGGAATATCATCCTTCACTCGATAATCATAGTTATGTTGATTCCCATGATCACCGACCTCTTCCTCGTAGGATTCTTCTTCAGAACTCGAATTTTCAACAATAACATTGTTAGCACAATGATTGTTTCCAACTCGTGGAACTCTAACATGTTCTCTTCGTAGAATCCTGTTGTTGTTGTCGTTGTTCACGTGATTTGCTAAATACGCCATCTGTTTAGTCAAAGCAGTTATAGCCACAGTAAAAGCTGTGGTAATTCCCTCAAGATCTGCTTTGGTCACCGGTTGATCCGCCGTGATTGTCAAGCTACGAAAAGAACAGAAGAAACCCGCTCTGATGCCAACCGACGCAGTCAAAATCCGTAGAGAATAGCAAGCGCTAAATTTAGAATAAAAGAATAGGTTTGCAAGCGCAAAATCTGTTAGATAAGTTGGAGTCCACCAGCACAAAGAAAACTTTGGATTCTATTATAATGAAAAATAACCTTATGGCTATGTCAAAGATCTTTAAATACATAAAAAAACAAATCTTAATGGGCCTTGTAGGCCTTTAATCCAAAACATAATTAAATAAAACAAATAAGATATAATTTGCTTAAATATTAAAATAATATTGTTTAAATATTAAAATGTTTTCTGACGCGTGATATCTTCTTCAGTACGCCAAGGCAACCCTCCTACATCAGGACTTAGAAGTAAACACTCTTAAGAATCAGTTATTGATTATGTAAAATAAATTGTTGCAATATTAATTCGGACTTGTTACAGAAATAAATCACACTTTCCCTAACATGTTACTCATATTTATCAAAATAGTTCTCACATCCATTTACTTTATTCGAAATTATTTTATTTTAACAAATCAAATTCAAACTCTAGTTTTGTTTAATTGAGCCACAATTCGAACTCCATATTTACACGCAGACCTTAAGATCGACATTCGGAAAATTTTCCTCATTATTACTAGAGACAAAATAATACACTTGCGATCACTTATTAATAGCAATTTTTATGATGTGTTTGTTACATAAAAAATTATATTTCAAATTTCCGCAATATTATAAATTTGTCATTAATAAAAATTATACCACTTTTCTTTATCTTTTCCTCTTTCTAATTCAAAACTAAAAAAAAATCAAAACTTCTAAAATCTGTTCTTATTTTTTTGTTTTCAAAACTCATACATAAAATATAGTTTTAATTTTTTTCCTGATAATTGTTTTCAAACTAGTTAGGAAGAGTCATCCTAGCTAGCTAAAAATTGAGAGTATTCTATTATGTCCCCCATCCCTAATTATAAGTTTCATAAAAGAAAAATTGCTCTAAATATAAACCATATGCAAATTACTAAGTGCATTTCCCCCCTTAGCATAGCACATATTAATACTACTAAGGTGAAACCTTAATTACATTTAGACACTAATAGAACTTATATTTTCGAAAGATCTACAAATAAAGCAAACACATTAATCTCACTACCAACATGTCTTAATATGTGACAAATGTGCTTAAATTTGAACAGATGGAGTAGTAGCTAAGAGTTTGGCTTGGGATAGAAGCTTGGAAGTTTGTTAGTGGCAATATATTTTGGAAGTTGCACTTGCATTTCTGAAGCAACCTATTCTAGCTCAAATGCAAACAGGTCGCGATTTGCATCTTGATAAATTAGTAAATATAAGAAATTCTACCAAAACTTCTCATGATTACTCTAACTACATTATTGGTGGATAATCAATACTTGTTCATAACTCCTTCCGTTCTGAAATGTCTAATTTGCTTTTTTTTTCTTTCTAAAATAATTCTCTTTACAATACCAATAGTAACATTTATAATTAATAAAAATATTCTAGTAAATGATGATGTTTATCATTAAAGTAAACACGCTTAATCATTTTTTTAAGATCTGCGCATAACTCAAATAAGACTTTTTTATGAGACAATGGGAGAAGGTTTTAAAAGTTTGCATGGATTAATCTTAATCACCCTTTATTCGATTGTCTCATACTATCTTAATCACCCAAGACAGCAGACACGTTTCAAAGCAAATGAGTAAAAGAAAATTAAGAAAACTACCAGTATCATCATCATCATCATCATCATCTCACTAAAAATGTAGACTAGATATGAGCAGAAACATAGATTTATCATTAACACAAGTACTATACTTAGCACAAACATACCATTCAAGTGTATGTAAAGAATGGGATAATCTAAGCCAATTCTGAAACCACACGATGGATTATGTGACATTGGTCCACTATTTAGTGACAGAACAAATCTTACATGAAAAGGGCAGCAAGCAGCAGACCAATAACTGAAACAGGATCCGGTTAGGAAGAGCAGCACCCACCTTTTTGCCCAACTGGTTGTCCTCTAATCTGCACTGTTGGAGGCCTTGCATTGTTCGCGGATGGTTGGCTCGCCATTCTACATTCAGGATAAATTTACCATCAGAAAACATGCTTGAAAGGAATCAATGGCAGAACAAGATGATAAATAGATGTTATATAGTGAATAAGTCATAGTACTTAAGTAACAAGGAAAAAAAAAATTGAAAATCAAGCTCAATAATCTTAACAGTAATGAATAAGTATACAATTAAAAACAAAACTATATTTTCTAGCTTTGGTAACTGGAAAATGCCAAGTAGACTACTGCAACTTAGAATATTGGTATGGTAAAGAAATTTAGTAATTTTTTCCGGAAATTGGAAAATAACTTAAGCCCGAGCCTATTTAAGAGGACAATTTGAATTAAACTCAATTATTTATTTTAATATCTTCCATTCAATGAAAAATAGGAAAAATGGGCACCTATCCTTGATGGCAGCAGCCATGGCCATGAATGCCCCTTCCACATTTGTAGCATCTTTTGCACTTGTTTCCATAAACGGTATGCCAATTTGATCTGCAAATTCCTGCAATGCAGCGGAAAAAAGGTAGTGTGAGGGTTCTGGAGCACATAATCCAGGGTAAACAGAAACACGCAATAAATAGTATTTCCTTCATAAGAAAAGACTGTGAGATAAAAAAGTTATACTTTGGCTGTATCATATGATACAACTCTATTTGCTGTCAGATCACTCTTGTTTCCAACCAAAAGCTTGTTAACATTATCACTGGCATAGCGGTCAATTTCACTGAGCCACTGCTTCACATTATTGAAGCTCTCTTCATCTGTCACATCATAAACAATCTGCCAAAGGAAAAAGTGATTAGAGAATGTAGATATCCTGAAACCAGCAGAGGAGTATTCCATGTTTAAACTCTTATATTGAAAAAATAAACTCACAATGATTCCATGTGCCCCACGATAGTAGCTACTGGTTATTGTCCTAAATCGTTCTTGTCCGGCGGTATCCCACTACAAGAACAGATTGTAAAACAAGGTAAGTAAAAAATTTGTCAATACAATCTTCAACCTTGAATTTCAGTGACCTGTATGGCCTGGGAACTCAGAGTATGATCTTATAAATAAAAATTACAATGACGAACAAATACCTCAAAGGTAAAAATATCTTCTATGAAAGATTAAAACATAGTGGTATTATATTAGGTTTACTAAGAGTATAATATTATTGCAAATAAAGAAAGCAGAACAAAGCTAATCTCAGATACATACAATCTGTAGTTTAATTGTCTTCCCATCCTGCTCAACAGTCCGTATTTTCTGCACAAAAGAACATGATATTTTAAATTCAGAATCTAGACACAGTTTCAAATGAGTTCAAGCTAAACAAGTTTGGAATGTTGTACTCACAAAATCAACTCCAATAGTGCTTATGTAGCTCTCAATGTATGAATCATCCTGTAGTATATCAAAAGGTTAATAATTTAAATTACTGTGTAGTGCAGCAGTATGCCATCACCATGATGGCCCAAAATGGGGCGTAAAGGAGTTTAAGTGAGGAATTAAAACCTTTCAGTATTACATAACAACACATAATATTAATAACACTAGATATGAGCTTACATAACCAGGTAAGATGATTTTGCTAAATCATAAATTCAAGTCATGTTATGGCAGCATTCCATAGATACATCCTGGTATTTCCACTAGAACTATGGAGAAAGTATAGAGCATAGTTCTATTTCTAGTAACAAAGCAAGAAATCAAAGATAATAGTGGAAAAAGTCTTTATATTGCTCTAGGACCAGACCAAGGCCTAAGGCTTCCGAATTCCCTTCATACCTTTTATTCAACACCCTCCCCTGGCCAAACTCCCTCCATTATATTCCCTCACTTCCATAACCATTAGATTATATTCCTACCTAACACACTTCTCCTATAAACTTTGTGTCCTCTCACATCCCTTTTTTCTTTCACAATTAACATCATATTGGGTGATAATCAAGCCCAGCAACAAGAAGCCCGTTACACTGTCTTATTTAATGTTAAACATTTAGACATAACACAATCAATGAGAGGATACGAAAAGCAACCAAATATTTTTTATAAAATATTAGTGTAGAAGAGTGGGAAAACATGGTAACCTAGTAGAAGAAAATAATACAAAATTGCAACACAGGATATGAAAAACAGTAGACAGCTTACAGCAAATCTTAGAAGAAGGCACGATTTACCAACACCAGAGTCTCCAATAAGAAGGAGCTTGAACAGATAATCACTGCAAAGAATACACATAACATACTTAGTTTCTCATTTGAAAATAGACTAATATTAATCCTTAGAAACTCAACCAAAGACCAACCACAATCATTTCATCAACACTCTATATACATGTATTACAACAACATACAAAACCGTAATACCACAAGTCTTAAAACGCTATAACAACACGAAACTTAAAGCAATCAACGTCATGAACTCAATAATGAAATTCCACTTCATAATATTCAAACCACAAATCCAATTTCTCGAGGTTCCTAATCAATTCATCAGAGAATAACAAGGACTAACGAAAACAGAGGCATGCATTTGCATGCCTCAATTACTCAATTGAAATTCGAAATTGATTCGGTACCAGATCAAGGTAAAATCATCACTTTCAAAAACCAATGAATAAAACGACGACCCGAATTTCATTTATTTAAAAAATCATAAATGTTTTGAAAAATAGAAAATTTAATCCAAAAAAATCAATCGAGTGAATAATTCCTAAGCTGATCGAATCTAGGGTTATGAAAAACGAAAATTCAACACAAATTAAAGATAATCATAACTATAGAATGGAAAAACATGATCGAAAATCGTGAAAAAAGGAACATACTATTCGGGATTCATGACGGGGAACGTGAAGTGGCCGGAGAGGGAGAGTGATCGGATCGGTGCTCCACGTGGAGATGGAATGGCACCAAACGGAGAGAGAAGAGAAGGAGAAGAAGAAGGAATGAAGAGGAAAATGAAAAGGGATTTTTATTTTTCTGTTTTGAATTATAAATTGTGTGGACCTTAAATGACCCTTCAATACGGTGACGTTTTGGGTTGTGATTCTAAATTATTCGAGTTTGACTATTGAGGAATGGTAATGGCCAAAGGTGGTGCCTACGCGATGGCTTCTCTTTAAGTTAACCCCCCAAATTTATGTTTAAGTTACAATTATTATTACATTGCACTTGTCAAAAACTTGATTGTTTGATTTTTTTTCTCTTTCTATACTTGAAATTACCAAAATATTTTTGCATAAAATAAAATTACAACATGTTGACAAATTTTTTAATTTTTTATCCAAAAACACGAGCGAAATGAGAATGATCTATTTCACTATAATTAGAGATTTTAAATTCGAATTTAATGTTGAGAATATATTATTGTTAAATTATTTAAGGAAGAGTTTTGTCGTTCATTGTTTTTTTCTTGATTCAAAAAGTTAGTCTCTAAGCTCATTAACCCGACTTGACTACGGTGGAAGGACAACTTGACTACGGTGGAAGGAAATTAATGGATATATAACATAAGTCTGAATGAATAGACTATTAACATAATGAATTTGAGGTTGATACCAAAGGTGTCATACTAATTTTTAAAGTAATCACTACGTTACAATATTAACAATAAAACTGTCTAAAAAGCATGTTTGATGCTTCTGTATTTCAGCACAAGCATGCGACCTATCATCATTGACATGATTATTTATTAGAAATCATCAATTACGCACAAAAGAATGAGTGAATGCTATATTTTTCATATATGATAACTACCTTGTACAAAAGAAGCCTGATGCTTATCATGAATTTTTAGAAAAATTATTCTTCATAAGAAGAAAACTTTAACTGATTTCTTCTAATTTATATTATTGTATTTCAGTTATTCAATACAAAGAGTGAGTTATATTTATAGACTCACATGACTTAACTAATTTTGTTAGATGGATTTTAGAATCTAGGGTTTTGCATTCACAAAAATGATTTAGTATTAAAATTACACGTGGCGGTGTTGGGTGTTGGACCCTATAAATCACTAAAGATTAGTGCAGGTGGTGAAGTCTACTTAGTGGTAGAAGAATGAGAATAAAGTTTGTGAGCTTTTCCTAAATAACATGATGTATGAGATATGTTTTAATTGTTGTTTAACTTTTATTTTTTTGTCTATAAGTCTAATTGTCGGAATTTCACCACTTAAAATGTGAATAATTGAGATGTTACGGATTCAAATCAGTATCACTGCAGTCAAATGTCTCCGTACAACAAATACGAACTTAATTGTCTTAACCGGCCAAAAATTGTTTTAACCTTGACCTATCCAATTGATTTAGTATATCCACAATATTCCCATATGTTACATATTACTTAATTATTTGAGTGATGCATTTTAATTTTTATGAATGAATACCAACATGCCTAAAATCAATAATACTTTTTAAGGGTTTTTCAATCATATCAGCCACTAAATTTCTTATATATGTTTGTTCTTTGGGTATAGAATACAGTTGAATATATTGAGAATTAGGTGTTGAATGTTGGAGAAAGTGTGAAAATGTTATATTCGAATATCATGAGAGATTTAATTCCTTCACTTTCATGTATTTTGGATGAAAATGATGACTCTGAGTTGCCAATCGATCAACATATTTATGCTAGGTTCGGTATGGAAATATCTGTAAAGGCTAATACCAAGTAAATAAGCAAGGATTGGAAGCATATGATGGAACTGGTAAAACATGTGCTTTATTTACTTCGTCTTCAAGGATATCTGTCAAAAAAGCAATATTGTTTCACGTTCGATACAACATATAGGGAGCATGGACGTTAAATCAAATATAGGTGTTGATGCCAAGATATTGGCAAAAT